CAGCATTGTCTTCTCTGCAAATCTTGAACTCCTGATCGGGCAAAGGGGACCGTGAAACCTCACACGAAGTCTAGCATAGCAATCTGATCATAAAAACATAGAAACATAGAAAGGCGTGTCTCTCTCCTGCGAGCTCTCGACGCATCGTGAGCCCTCGAACCCCGCTCCCCCGCATGCCTGCGTCCCGCTCAGGAACAGGATCTGGCAGTCGCGCGACCAAGCATGTTCGTGTTTGCTACATCTCCGATGCGAAAAAGGGGCAGCACCTCCCCAAGTGAGGGAGGGCTCTTGGGATGGTGTTTACAGAGAAACCATCGGAAAACAAGCAGCTTTGGGGCCCCTGGCACAGGACACGTTCTGGCATGGATGTGACCTGCCACTGCGTGAGCTTCCCAAAAAAAGACCCGTGGCGACTTGTAAGGCGTGGAGAACATTTGCAAGCTTACTCTTGCCAGGGATGCACGTTTGGGCAAAGGGAAACTGGAATGAGTCGTTGCTTGAAGTTTGAACAACTTGTTGAGCTTGAGCACAGTTCTGGTGATTGATGCCCAAAGTGTAGAGATGGCAAGGGTCTTTTGACCATGGTATACATGCTTGCCAGTTCCTTTCAGGAACTCTCAAGCATAACAATAACTGCTTGACGTTTGGAAACCTACATTTCAACATGTTTATTGATGGGAGGGCAACACGCTTTTCTATCTAGGAAGGACATCAAAAAGCCGTTTGTTGGGCAGTGGTCTTTGGAAACAACAAAATGGATGTTTGTTCAAATGGCTAAACCCTTCAAAAGTTGTGTGAAGGGGGACTCCCATCGAAGTTCATCCTTGAAATCACCCTCTAAAAAGTGGTTTTAAACGGAAACCACCAGGACAACAGTAAGTTTCAACCACAAAATGAGGCACTGCCAAGCCAACCTAAAGCAGTGATCCCAATAGAAGGAAATCCCCTCCATGAACTTTAAACTCCATACCCACCCACCCGACTCCCAGCAAAATTGCCCCCAGCATCCACCCCCTTCGCCTTGAGCTGCGTCATGTTCTCACAGCTCTTCATGGTGCCGGTCACACCCTGCAGCCTTCGCAGCACCAGAAGCGTCATGTTCCTGCAGCCCGCCAGCGCTTGAAGATGGCCTCGAGCAGAGGTCACGCGCGGAGCTCGTCCATATGATTTCACGGAAAAGCAACTGGAAAAACCGCACCCAAATCGCGGGGGTCCAAGTCAGCGCCGCTGAAATGCAGGTCTCAAGTGGCCGTGATTCTTTGCTGGACAACCATACTGCGTTTTTCGCACGGTTCGTTTTTCCAGTTGCAACACATAGATGGGGAACCCAAATGAATGATGAATAGCAAGGTGCTCCGTTCCCCCTGAGAGGCGGGAGATCCCTGCAAAAGTAGCGCAAGTAGATGCCAGACCTGAAGTTTACCAATCGGTTCCTATTAAACAGTACCTGGGACACTAGAGGAAACTCAGTTTCAAGTTGCGTCTGCCAGCGTCGCCTCAGGCGCCCAATGGAAACATCACTTGCGCTCCAAAGCAAGCTCAAAATAAATTATAAACAGAAAGGTGGTGTTCGATCCACCACAAATGCCGCAAATCCTGGCCTGGTATCAACTGGGGTGGTCCTTTTCACATTTAAACAGAATGAACTATCCAGCAGGTTCGCAAGAGATCAACCGCAAGCGGTGCAAGACGAGTCAAAATCAAGCAAGCTGTGGCAGTTGTGAGAAACCCCTGTTGCCTCGTTGCAGGTGCCTTGAGTGTGGCGAAAGGCAGCTTAGCTGTCCTGCAACATCAGATTTAAGTTTGGCACGGTGGCGTTTGCCCTGGTCTTGTTGGCCTACCTGTAGAAAAGGTTCCCGGGCCTCACGGATCCCCCTCCCCTCCCCTCCCCTCCCTCCTCCCCAAAAAAGCGCCACCAAACCCCATCGCGTCCAGCCTCGCACCCGGGTAAGCCCCAGAAGCAGCTCCCGCAAGCCTTCCATCCCCTGGAAGACCTAGCGCTTTGACGATAGGGTTGGGCGACATTTGTTTGTTGAAACCATGAGAGAAGCCAAAAGGAGGGTGTTCAAACAACAGTTACAAGTGTAACACGATTTAGCCTAAAAAGGGTGGACGTCCTTTACCTATTGCGCCATAAGGGCAACTAGGTATTGGCACAGCCCCGCTTTGCTTGCGCAGAGCCATGGAACCCGCAAGACTGAACCCTCGAAGGAATCAGTCACGGTACAGATGACCCAGCAACAAGAGCTGCAAAGATTCATCCAGCAAGAAGACCTCGCATCGAACGGATCGAACTGCTCTTCGTCAACTCACGATTTCAATCGAAGTCGGGGACAACTTCACCAAGATCCACCAATCCTCATCCAGGACCACCGACTATGACTCGACTACAGGCAGCTTCAGTGACATCCTTCTCCCCAAGAAGAGACCCTTTGATGATACCACTACATCAGACATTGAGATTACAGCAGACCAGAACATTAAGGACGCCCCGCTTGCATATCACTCCACATCATTTTCTTGCCATCCATGGAGAACCGCATCAAGATCTGTGACAGCTGTTACCGGTGTACAGAGCAAGAAATATGCATTCCTCCAGCTGAAGATGGAAATGACAGACAGCAGACTCAAAAAGGCTCTGGCAGCGTCCAGAGCGGGCAGCACTTCCCTGCTTGAGGGACTACCCGCAGTTGGCTTCAATAGAACCACACTGGACAACAATGCTTATTTCATGTTGCAGGATGCATGGAATGACATCCAAGAAGGCACCCTACAACATTGGTTCTTCCCTATAACTTTTTCCTCTATCGCACCGGCCAGATCGCTCCATTTTTACCAGGGCATGATTGCTGGCATAACAAAGGATGGACTATTGGCAACATCACCTTTTTGTACATCAATATCAGGATGCCATTGCAGTCGACCTCATGGAGACTCTGGCAGCCTATTGCATGCATATCCTCAATGAGAATACAGACTACTGCCACATGTTCACAGAAGAAACCCCATTTACCGCCAATTATGTGCAAGAGTTGGGGTCTGCCGCAAGGCGGCTGTGATCTGGCTGCAAAACGAAACCCCAGGCAGGGGAAACAAAGGATAGGCTCGTGTCATGGCAGGTGGACAAGCGACACAAGGGACTTTAGTTGAACACTTGTTATGCTGCTAGAGGTGTCAAAAAGGGGACATTATGTTGAACCTATCAAAAGTTGTGGTAGAAGCCGGGCTGGAATGTGAAACTTGAGGAGCGGGTGAACGAAAGCTAGCAGTTGTTGCATGAGATGGGTCGGTGACAGAGTGGATTCAGAGGTAGCTTGTGTACAACGAGAGGCCAGGCAAGATTCGTAGGATGCGACACGCAAACGCACATGGTAGCGTGGCAAACCTTGAAAAATGAAAACAACGAGAGGCGTCAGAAGCTGTCTTACAGCACCTCTGGGTTCTGCATGCTGCGTGTGCAAAGATTATTGCGAGGTGGTTTACTGAGAAGACTGAGGTCTCAAATGAACAAGCTGAATTGGTGGAACATGTAAAAGTTCATAACACCAAGTCCAAAACGGGCAAACCGAGACTGCTGAAACACTGAGCCACTGCCCGGGGGGAGGGGTGGACCAAGGAGGAATCGAGCCTGAGACGGGGGGGGGGGTCTAAATAATTGATTATTTTCAATCTTTTCGGCTCAAATAATTGAAAAAATCAATCTTTCGGCAGTTGAGCCCCTTACCTTGCTTACGCAAGGAGAAACTTCAGCTAGCTAAAGCTAGCTTTCGTGATTATGTCCGTTTAAAAGCCAACTTCGCAAACAAAGAAGATTGCAAAAACTCGGGGGGAGATGCTTGACATAGTCTGTATCGAGTCTCTGTTGGTCCTTGGCCCGAACCCGAGCATGTCCCAGGGAAGCCAAGAGGGACTCAAGCCACACCCAACACCCTGCTTCACTCCTTCGGACTTCGCTCCTCTCCCAGCCTGCAGGTTCCCGTACACGCGGCTGTCGGTGAGCTTCACATACCGCAACTGACGCAGGCTCCTCGCAACGCTCTTTTCGGGGCCTGAGATAAGTGATGTACTTTATATTGAATCAAAATTTAATATAACCAAATATGATGGTATATGTTCATCAAATTTAAATTCGAAATATTTCAAAATTGAAAATAATGGAAAAACATGAAAAGGATATAGAGCAGTTGCATTAACTAAAACATTACAACCAAATATAGAATATGCTTGGAAGATAAAATTTGAAACAGCCCATGGTAATCAGAGTTTTATTGGTGTTGTTTTGGAAAAACAAACTGACTTTGAATTCTATGCATACCAAAATGCGTTAGAAGCTTATGGTATATTATTGCAAAGTGGTATTGTATGTTTAAGCAATCAAAAAACAGATAATAATTATTCAATGAATATGTCTTTAAAAAAATGAGTGATTTATGTTTTATGTCCGACCCTTTAGCGAGGCCGCACGTAGGATCCCCAACCCAACAGAGTCCAAGCTACAGGGCTCTGGAGGGACTTATGTCGACCAAAATAAGGTCGAATCCAGAGCCATTGGGGAGAGCTGTTGTACAATTCCAAGTTTGAACCGCTCATAGCGTGCTTAGGGTGGGTTTATGACCATCCATCCCAAGTAACTAGCTGCTTCGACCATGGCACATGGGCTCAATGCTCCTTGTGGTGCTTGTGTGATGACCTCACAAACAAAAGGTGTCCAGGACTTGCGGATGTATCCGAGGCAAGGGATTAGAGATTGCCTTGATCCCAGAAAAATACTAAGCCGGTCAATCATGCCCAGCCGCCCCAATTCCCCTTGCCAGGCCCTCCGGACTGGTTCTTCCAATCCACCGCTCTATGTTGATCTCCGAACAAATTGAAGTGTCTGAAGCACAGCATCGTGAGTTGTCCAAAGCTCAAATTGCCAATCGCAAGAAAGCCATTGGATTTGTGCACACCCTGCGGGATTCTCAGAGAAACCCCTTCCTCCGAGCAAGGTCCTTTGTTCCGGGGTCAACAAGTGAACGCCGCTTTTGGCCCTCTCTCTGGCTCGGGGCATGGTCTCACCCCTTGGCAAGCCCCAAAGCGCCTCAGGTGCGCAACATCGCCATACACCTGCGAGCCCTCCAGAGACAACTCCGTCAGCTCTGTGAGGTTTTGGAGTGCACCCACATCTCCGTTCACCTCGGGGAGCAAACCTGAGAAAACCACATAGACGCCCGTGAGTCATCCCCAAAACCAAGGCTAGGGAAAGGAAGCGTCCAAAGGAAGTCTCTCAAAATCGACCGCTTCTGGGACGCGACAGGCACCAAATTCCCGTGCCGAGGAGTACCTACTCGAGTTGAAGAAAGCCGGGCACCAACTTGGCTTCCGGTGAAGGATTGGGGGAGGTCACAGATGGCAGCCCTGGAACCGAGTGAAACCCTTCCCCGACACCCTTCCCCCGAACCACACCCTATGAGTATGTCGCCTATGCTGTTGAAAGTTGCCGATAGGGTAAAGAATGAGGGTCCCTCGCCGAAATCTCCCCGACCTGGCCTGACCTTTGAGGTTCAACACCTTCAGGCCGCTGAAGTACTTCAGCTCCTCAGGCTTAGTGCTCCATCCATCCACATTGACTCGAGCACGAGAAATGCGGCAACAGCAGTGAATGCACACACTACAGCCGCGCCTTCCATATCTAGCCGGGTTTCTGATTTAACCTTCTTCTCATCTGTTTTGCCATTCAACAGGCTTTGGCCCACCACCTGTTGTACACAGGCGAGCGCCAAAAAAGAAACGACGTTTGGTTCCAACACAATTACACAGTTTGCATAGGCGGTATTTTAGCCCCCCAAAAAAAACCTGGTTGTAGCACAACCGACTAAAATGGCCAACACAAGGTGGTGCAGCTCATGTCGAAACCACTGTTGTTCAACCACATCGAAAGGTGAGCATGCGCTCAACTGCTGGGTGGTTGAGGGTCAAACCCCATACACTATTCATTAACTCTGCCCCTTGATTCTGAAACCCCCAGTAAATCAGGGAGAGTCCCTGTTCAGAATGGAATCCCCATACAAAAACAGGCCTCTGTCAAACAACACCTTCGGGGTTGTCAGCCGGCGGCGGCAGCAGCGGCGGCGGGGTGGTGGTAGCGGGGGTGGTAGGGGTGGGGGTGGTGGGGGGTGGGTCATGAGGCTCGATATACAAACTCCTAGCTTGGAAGATACAAATAAATCTTTGGGTTGGTATCATCCCAGCAAGCAAGTATGCAGGGGCCTTGGGATAACAGCCATCTCCTTGGGAAACTCCACTCGTGAAAACGATGAAACCGTCCTCGATGGATCCCTTCAGCTTCGGCGAGCTGATTTTCACACCCAGGACCTGGCAGAATGCACGGACGACCCCGTCTGACCTAACCCAAAGTTGATATTCAAACTGTGGTGTTCACATGCTCCAACCACCAGGAGGGTCGCAATAAAAACCTGGACTTAACGGAGTCGACTCAAAGAGCACAGGCTTCACCTATCATTGGGACAGGGCGCACTGAACCTTGCCTACGGTCTTCATTGTTCGTCTGTGTCAAAAGAGCGGGAACGATCTTGGCTGAAGCCGTTTGCTTCTTGCAAACGAAAAGGGTCCCCAGCCACTCGCGCCGCGCGGCTTTTGGTCGCGCCTGGCAATCACGGCAATTCACGCCCTTCCACTGGCACACGGAGCCGCTCCCGCGCAAGCCCAGAGCCTGCAGCGCCCTCACCGCCTTTGGGTCCGCCGGGCCTCGAAAGACAAACGGCAACCACAGCAACACGGAAAAGGCGGGAAACCTCGGGGAAGGCCCTTTGTTCCGCTGTGTTTTGGCTTCCAAGGGATTCCTGAAAGGTGTGTTCAAGACTCGGCTTCAGCCGAAAGCGCGACTTGTCAAAAAGAACCAGCTGCATGTTTGTTCTCCAAAGAGGCCTGGAAAGGCAACAGGCTCAAATGTAGAAAGTTGCAATTGACGGGTTTCTAATGCTGGAGGTTCAAAAAAGACATCAATGAAATCCTACCTCACAAACCATCCCAAAGGAAGTTGTAACCCGTGAGAGCGCATTGCCTGGCACATCCCCTTCACGTGCCACAGAATCCTTAGGTTCCAACAAAGACGAAGTGAAGTGCAAAAATCCGGTACGGATAGCAAGACTATGCCAAAAAAGGGGCCGTGATGTTTTGTAGGTGTCAGGGGAATGCCGCGTGGGCAGCTCTTTTGCTGCCACTATGGGCTGCCCAACCGGGTGCCTTCCGGATGTCTAAAGGCGACTAGCATGAAGCCAAGAAAAACCTTGGCGGCATATCCAAACGCGCAAGCCTTAAGCTCTGCAACCTCAAGAGCCAGCCCGGGCTCCAAAAGCTTTGCATTCCCAACATCAAAACCCAGGATGCGCTTGCCATTCCCCATCTCGCGAGAAAAGTCGTAGCACTTCCCTGCAGATTATTTTCACTCAAGAAGGGTCTCGAATACATGAGCTTCCTTGACAGGAAAGCAGCACCTAACATAGAATAGCTTGTCAGTTGCACATGGGCTTGTCTTCAAATCGGCATCCTCCAAACAAAATGGTTGGGTTCAATTGCTTGTCCATATGAGTTTTTCCCAAAAACTAGGGATCCGTTCAAAGGGCAAGCAATAGGAAGACAAGCAATTGGTCGACAGATTCATCCCATAACTATCCAGGGATCACGCCCCTTCGTAGACAGGGCACACGGGTCGGCGTCCAGCTCCAGCGATGCGCTATGCTGGCCATCACCATGCTTAGTCGGGCAGCCAATGATCTTGCTCGTGTACTTGGTGCTGAGGATTGGTGGTTTAGAGGTCAGTGGGCTTCCTTCCACATTGGTTTCATCGAGACCCAAGGGTTCAAACCCCTAACCACCCAATCCAAACCACCTTGCGATGCCGTAAAAAGACCCGTTTACGGCAACCAAAAAAAATGTCCAAGGATTACATTATGAAACTAATCTGCAAGTTGCTTCAGGCCAGTGTCTTTATTGCACACGCCATTCAGGTGTGACAAGTTGTTGCTCAACTGAGAACTATATGATTTGCTGCCAAAGCCCTGTGCCTGTGTGCAAATGACAAATGCAATATAGAAAGCTGTTCGAAGGCAAGGTCAAAAGGCTGATTCCTATGATGATACTTCATGCAGGTTACTATATTTCACCTTCAACAATTGACCGATTGACATGTCCCATGAAACTTACATGTGTGTCTGTGTAGGTCCAAAACAAGGGAAATGGCCCAATCATGGGCTCTATGTCCAAACAAAACCTGAGAAGAACAACGAACCAGCAAACAATGTGGGTGTTTTGTCACGCCACTCGCAACTCCAGGCTTGCCCGCTCCGCAGCGGCTGAGCACAACAGGAGCAGCGCTACTGCAGCCATGGCGGGCCGTTGGGACATGCAACGGCGGAACGCGAATGAAACACCCTGCTCGTTTTCTGTGTCACTTTCGGTTAATCTGATTGTTGGGCAAAACAGTTTGCAAAAACTCAACCAAGTGTGCACTTCCATTTTTCCGGGTGTGTCCTTGGAAGCCCAGGATTGCAAATCGAACACAACTTGTGCAGGTCGGTATGAATGTATGAAGGAATGCATAAAACAGACTCGCTAGCCATCGAGAAAGCGCCGATGGTTCACAAGCAACCGTGAAGCTGGGCCTTGAGGCCTGCCGTTCCAGCCGTGAGGCGGGTGAGTTTGAGCAATGGCGGACGTGAGAAGGGACCTGAAATTTAAGACCACCTTCCCCAAGTTCACATGCAAAAAAATAACAGGTCAACTAGTTGCCACAAAGTATATTGGATCACTTGGCCATGTCACATCCAAAAAAGACAACGACACCATCCGTTGCTCACGCGCATGCAAGTCCATCCTGGTTGGCCGTGTGTTAGAATCCTGTTTACTGCTTCAAGCCAAACTGGGACAAGACAAAACAAGAGTGAAGCCGCGCTCAGCTCTTTTGTCAGGTGTTGCCAGAGGTGACAGGCTTAGGGATGCAAATTGATCGACAATGCTGGCGTGAAAAACGAACAGGAGGTATGCTGATGGTAGCAAAATGCAAATGCTTGCATTTCTTCGGGAAGTGCATGATGACTTGGAGCGGATGAAGGCTACAATGCCCAGCACATTGAGCTCTCGTCACTTAAGACTCGACCTGGCAACAACTGGCAACTGTACGGCCGAGCTTGTCGAACCAACAAGCTTAGCAGTGTTGCTAGAGAAGGTACGGTGTGTTTCAAAAGCACAAACCTGCTGCCTGAACAATTCATGCGTACTGAGTACAAGCGCTCACAAATGAGCTGGTATACGCAGATTAGGATGTACACCTGCCAGGACAGCAGGCGCGCACAGGTGGGGCCCAGCTCCTGCGAGAGCACCAGCCACTACCCCGTGCCAGGCGGCGCCTCATAGTTGTCGCCGCCCGACGATCCCGATGAGCCCCCACACATCTCGTCCTTCAGGATGTCGCCAGGCGAAGAATTTCATGTCTCCGTCATATTTGAAGAACAGCGCCTTCGTGTCCTTTTGCGCAACGGCGATGGCCCTTCACGGAAATGGGGCGGCTGCCCATCAGCCGCGCCGCGACCTGGCCGAGGAACTCCACCTGCCGGAATCTTTGCTTCGTCAACTTGCCAGCAAGGCCCAGACCGGCTTTGTGCCAGAGAACGAAAGCTCTATGGTGCGTTGCAGGCATGCGATCACGGTGGTTGGCCATTCTGCCTACCAACCGCACCTGCATCCTTTGAAGCCCGTTTGCCATCAAGCAGGTTGCCCGGTGCAAATGCATCGGACCAATGGAAATCACAGCACTTTGCTGAGCAGTAAGCACTTTTCTATGTTCATTGCGCCAGCCGAACATGCCCTTGCTACACGAATCAGTACGCCACTTTGACGCCAAGCTGCCGGTTGCACAAAAGTTTCGGCTGTCCGTGCGCAACCAGGTGATGTGGTGGTTGTTGACAACCTGCCCCTGATCGTCAATTCTGACGACGTTGACTTTGCTGCGACCCGATTCACGCACAAAAGGTTCCGTCAAGTTGTTGTTTTCCCCGTGCCGCCTTCAGCATAATCGCCCGTCGACTAAACAGAGAGTCACATCTACAAAAAGGCTTCCAAGAAGCGACCGGCAAACAAATTCCCGAATTAGCCCGCAGTCCAGACAACCGTCAAGCTGCCATCAACCTTGGGTTTTTTCCCCCGCGCCGCCTTCCAAGGCCCTACGCCTGCGAGTCCTTCAGAGGGACCGCACACCAAGCTTCCTTTCTCACAGCACGCTTTCGCTAGATTGCCACAGCTTTTCCGTGGCCAATCGAAACCAGCCAAAATTGGGACTAACGTCGGCCTGTTTATCTGTTGGCAAGGGGGCAAGGGCAGGGACTATTTGAGACTATTTATAAATAATCAAAAAGCTATTTGAGACTATTTATAAATGATCGAGAAGCTGTTTGAGACTCTTTATAAGTAAAGACAAACTACGTGAGACTATCTAAAAATACAATACAAATTATTTGAGACTATTTCTACATGAAAAAGAAGCTATGATATTTTTTTTTAAGTCAAGGAGAAGCTATGTAGGACTATTTATACATAACAAAGAAGCTTTGTGAGACTACTTACAAATCAAAGGGAAACTACACAAGACTATTTTTAAATCAAAGGAAACTACAGGGGACTATTTGGAAACTACAAGAGGCTATTTTTAAGTCAAGGAGAATCTATGTGACACCGCTTATAAATCAAAAAGGAAACTATGTGAGACTACGTACATATCAAAGGGACGCGATGTGAGACTATTTATGAGCTAAAGGGAAACTATGTGAGACTACTTTTGAATCAAAAAAGCAGTTATGTGAGACTGTTCGTAAATCAGAGAAAACTGCTATGAGGCTCCCAACAACAAATCATGGGGGGCTGCAATGAGGCTGTTTCTAACTCCGAGGAAACGTCATCCATTCGCGAACACAGGCGCGCAGGAGTTGCAAGAGAAGACTGAGGCGCAGCCGATTCTTGGCCCCCTCTGACACCACTGCTTGCAATTCGTAGCGAAAGCACGACGCGCCTGAAAGCTCACCCCATCACACCAGTCAAGACAAGCAGGCCCAGAATTGCAACAGCAGCTGCGCAACACAACCTGGCCCGTTGGAAAACATGTTCAAGCCACATGTTGGCTGATAGAGAAATCTGCGTTGGCGCTGGTGGCAACAACGCCAACAAACGGGCTGTCTAAAGCAGGAGTTTGTAACAGCATGAAACAGTTAGGGACGGTCTGGGGTAAAACAAGTTTTAGACATAGCGGGAAACGGTTCGGGACGGTTTGGGACTATTTCTAGAACAGGTTTTAGACATAGCGGGAAACGGTTCGGGACGGTTTGGGACTGTTTCTAAAACGAATTTAGAAACAGCCGGAAGCGGTTCGAAACGGTTTGGGACTATTTCTAAACATGTGTTTAGAAATAGCGAGAAACGGTTCGGGACGGTTTGGAACTATTTCTAAACAGATTTTAAAAATAGCGGGGAACGGTTTGGGACGGTTTGCGACCATTTGTAAGCATGCTGAAGCCGAAATACTATTTGAAACTATTTGAAACTATTTGGAACTGTTTGAGACTATGCGAAGCGAAAAGTGGCTCTGGGCAGCGCAATGCTTACAAATAGCGGGAAACGGTTTCGAACGGTTTGGAACTATTTCTAAAATCGTTTTAGAAATAGCGGGAAGCGGTTTGAAACGGTCTGGGACTATTTCTAAAACAAGACTTAGAAGTAGCGGAAAACGGTTTGGGACGGTTTAGGACTATTTCTACAACAGGATTTACAAATAGCGGGAAGCGGTTCGGGACGGTTTGGGACTATTTCTAAAACAGGATTTAGAAATAGCGGGAAACGGTTCGGGACGGTTTGAGACTATTTCTAAATCAGGATCTGGAAAAAGCAGGCAATGGTTTGAAAAGGCTTGGGGCGACTCTCAAAGCAGGAGTGAAGTGTTGCAACAGATCGCAGCGTTTTGTGTCTTTTTTTGAAGCAGCACGCCCGACCATGAAGAACCTGGGGCGTTGCCAGGGCACTCACCCACTAGGCGCAGCGCAAGTGCGAAAGCCCGAGCCCCTCGCCAGCTTGGCAAATTCGTGGGCTTAGGCGGGCTGGCCGGGCCCGGGGGGGAGGCGGGTTCTGCAGAGCGGGTCTGCGGGGAATGACCGCCACCCTGCCAACCCAGGCTACGACCCAAGTCTCTGGGCCCCGGTCTTTGATAAAGTCAGCAAATTTAGAAATGGTTTCGAATAGTTCATCAAAATTTTATAAATAGTCTCAAATGGTTTCCGGAAAATTTAGAAATAGCTTCCACTACTGTTTTAAGTGAGGTTTTGCGTGAGCCCACACACCCGTCAGTCCACGGCTGTCCCCGTCAGTCCCCGGCCCGTCCCCGTCAGTCCACGACCGGTCCGACCGGTCCGACCGGTCCCCCTCACACCCCGCTTGACACCGTCAGTCCGCCCGAGCCACGGGCAAAGTTCACGCGGCTTTTATGTTGGGCCAGCGCGCAGCTAGCTTTCAGCGCGCTGCACAGCCTTTCGGACTACAGGTGGCCGGTGCGACTCCGCGGGCCGCCGGGGCGTTCGCAGTAAGCCGGCGGCCCGCCTCCTGACCTTTCCCATCCCAGCTTGGCTTAGGGCTCTGTGAGCTGCGTGAAGACTGCCAACAGCGCAAGACCAACTCTCAGTGATTCTTCGCTACGGCAAATACAAGTAGAGGAAGTTGCCACGCAACATGTTGCAGTTAGGTTTGCCTAGGTGGGCATCCAGTCACACTACAAGTCCGCAACCAGATCACTCGCAAACAAGCGGCCTTTGCGTTGGCCAACAAATTGGATGCCTGGCCGGGATCCGAATCCAGAGGCAGAACATAACCTTTTCTTTGTACCATAACCATTGCGTAGCACCATTTGGATACCTGCGCAACCAAAAGTCAAAGAAAGCATGCCCTCGGGCGCATCACATCACCTTACACACTTGATGCCAGTTAACCGAAATCTAGAGGTTTTGTTGTGGAAGCAGCGTCTCTGTCAGGATGTTGCCGTGACGATTTTTTCAACACGGCGTAGGTTCGGCCACCGACGGCAACGCCCAGCGAAACCTGCATGATGAGACATCACCTCGCGCGGCCACCAAACAACCTCCTTTCCGCCGATTGCGTTCACGTCGGGCCGCCAACTTGAAACTTACTGCAAGCGCCTGCCGCTTCTGGTTGACACAACTGCCACAGGCTTTTTCTGCGTGCCGCACAGCACGCCGCATCGCGATGCGCTCAGCTGCACATCCTTCAGAAGACAACAGCTCAGCGGGTTTGCGATCTTCTTCGTTTTTCGACTTGCCACTGCACCAGCAACACACAAAAACTACAATGTGTGGCAGCTGTGCCGTGTAGAATG